TATTATTTTCCAGTCCAGATTGTATAGCCAATGAATGATATATGTGAAATTCTAAATATCTAATAATTACCCTTGAGTAGGTAAATCTTTTAATTAAATTACAATGACAAGAAGGTAAGTTCTTCTTTATAAATTTTACTTATCTTAATCACTTCTGGTACTGTTGGGTCTTCGACACGTCTCCTGAGCTGCGATGTTTCTCGGCGGACTTTGTAATCGACGTTCCACTCGGTACTCGTTACCATGCAATAATCAAGGTGCCAACTAACCCTCCAATGACCAGATAAAATCTCACAACGCCAAGGTGTATTCGTAACAACGATCCTAGACTCTGTCTCCAAGGTAAAAATGAAAGGATAGGCTCTCAGTCTTCCCAGCAGTCTCTCACAATTTCAACCATACAAAGAATCTACAGTGAATATTTATTCCTACTAATCACACGATCAAATCGAAATAATTAACTACTTACCCTGCAATCACAGGATTCTTGTATAATAAAATGATATCAGCACAGTGGCCAAGAATACTTGCACCACGTGGAATCTTCAGCAGCGAAAATCTTCCAACTTGGAAAGTTACTCACAGGAAAATTATTCCTACAATATTTCCTCTAAACCAGGCAAGGCTATGAATCCCAATTAATATTTGGAGAACTCAATTCACAATAATTAAGTTACTAATTAGCACTTGAACCTTCGATGCTATTACATCAGCTGCTGGAAGCGAAGAGAGAGAATTTTCTCGAATCTACCTATCAAGTAACCTATCACATTACATCTTTGACCTAACCTAGGAAAACACAGAGACGGATTCAAACATACGAAAACGAATGGTCATGTAAGGAACAACATTACACTTTTTCAGAATGGAATCAGACAACCAGGTAAGCTCAAATATCCCAGATCATTCCCTCAAAAATTATCATTCAACTGCAGAACTAGTTAGAACACTATTATGAGATGCATAAAAATAAAAACCAGAATCTATTCCAACAATCTACTCCGATCCTGGAATTGATAACTCAACGGGCTGAACCTAGCGTATGACGGTCGAAAGATTTCGCCTCCAAATAGCAACAAATAGAAATCTGCATTTTTGGTATCGAACCTAGTTCACTGACCTGGAGCAACAAATACGACGATCAACAAAATAGAACTGCAAAATTTCAAGAGAACCTAACCATTATTTATTGTTTACAATGCAAGATAAAATAATAATTATTGGAATGAATTTGGATATCCACCAGCCGAATTATCCAGGAGAAGAGATTGAAATAACTTATAAGGTAAGCAATTAATTATATTATTCATAAAATGTGAAACTTGTGTTTGATTTCATACAAATTGTTTGATATTGAAATGTTCTTAATTTTACATAAACAATCAGCAATTTGTTTATATTGTTTTTATCTTTTCAGATATCCAGAAAATAGAAAGTGAAACAAATTAATTAATTGCCATCCTCCCTCGCATTATGATATGCACTGCGACTTATCCTACCAGCGAACAAAGTGAATAAACAGAATCAAACTAAGTGAAATTTGTAACAATAACCAATAAATCTTTGAAAAATATGCTGTTAATTATTTATGCCTCCTGACACCATTCAATGAAAAATGCAACCGTAACAACAGTCTATCGTCTATTAACTAACAAATGGGTTTAAAATAAGGATAGTCAATTATTGATTATAACGGTTTGACAAATTTATTAAGGATTCCAGAGCAGAAGAAACGAAAATTCACAAAATAAGTGAATAACAGCTATCCTAGCCTAGCAGGTATAATAAAATAAAAATAATAGTTATTCACCTAACAAATGCAGAAGTGATACTTTACCGCACGCAACGGCAGTCGTTAAGTGCAGTAAAGGCACTTTCCGCATGTGTTAGGTACAAAATATACCTAGTACAAAATATACCCAGGTCTGTTCGCACAGAAATCGCAAACCAGAGTGAATTTCATTGGTTGAAACTAGATTTCTGACTGTTTTCAACCAATGAAATTAACTCTGACTGGTTTGTGATTGCTGGGCGAACAGACCTATTATTTCCCAAAGAAGGCATCATTGAAATTTCTGAACGAGAAGGGGTTTTTGAGTGTACTTAAACACCGAATCTACTTTGCCGCATACTATGCAGTCTACTTTACTGCACATTTCCATTCTAAGCGGTAAAAAGTCACATTGAATGTGACGTGACGGTCATGACCGTCTTGATTCGCCGTCATGCGCGCTGGTCATGACCCACTAACATCACTGATAATATACGATACTCCCCTAAAATAATGGACGACCGACGACCTTAGAACAAGTAGACTAGTACATAGTACATCTGGTAAGGTACAATAAATGGCAAACGATAGATTACCAGAACGAATCCCACAATTGAACCAAAATGGAAAAAGATAACGAGGAAGACATAGATAAAGTGCGACAAGTGAGTGAACCTGTGTGAAAGGAATGCGGGCAGAACCTTCCTGATTGGCCCGAGATTAAATATACATATACGCGGATCGTCGCGTCAGGGTAACCGCAATTTTCGCAATGCACCACGACGAGGACCCGTCGCGCCGTATAGTATAGGTTTTCGTCTTCCCCTCTGCTACTTCATACGTTACCAAGGTTCACTCACTTGTCGCACTTTAATGAAATTCGCAACAGAGGGTGATGGGCAGAAAGAAACAACTATAGATATTATGGGAATTGGAGAATTGAGAACGTTGTGTAAGACCCATTTATTCATACATGTCGTAACAAATATAGGTACCTACATAAAAAAAATTACTTCATTCTTCAAGTTTCTCTTGAGTTAAGATCACACAAAAGTGCAGCTCTTACCAGCCTGGAATTTGGAACAATTCCAGCTTCTGTCATATTTCTACTGGTGCGTCTATTAAAATGGTACCCCTGGATATGAGGATATGATTTTTAATGCTCGTTTAATGGATATCGCTTTTAGCAAAGAGGCAGAAAAAGAAGCATGAAAATAGTTGGAAATTTGCAATACAATTCTGATGCAAATTTACTTCAATATTTATAAGGGGTGTTCTAGGGCTTAAGGTGTGCGTTGGGCGTTTTAAGGTAGTTGTAATTTCTCTAGGCAAACCAATGGAATAAATAATTATTAATTATACAGGCTGTTAATGAATAGTGGGATCAAACTTCTAGGATAAATAGTACTTATTAAAGTGAGAAAAAAGTTAATGGAAACATAGGTCCGCAAATGGTTTTTGAGATACAGGGTGTCAAAGCTTGAAAAAAATCGTTTTTTTTTTAAGCTCAAAAATCCATATCCCGATGTATAGGGTGTCCCGGATAAGGATGCGCTCTTCAAGGATCTCCGCAACTATAAGAGATATAGGGTTGGTTAGATTTGGAAAAAGATGAGCATTACTGAGCTCAGTGGCGTCATGTTTGAATATTTCGGACATTCGGGATGATTCCGAAGATATTCATAAAAAACCGAATTTTGCCGAAATCTTTTTTAATTTTTTTTTTAAATTTAATTTAAGCAGCTTTTCCAAATCTAACCAACCATGTATCTCTTATGGTTACTCAGATCCCTGTAGTCCATCCTTATCAGGGACACGGAATAAATAATTATATTTAGAAAAGTACTATCATTAGTATTTTGAAATAACCACTTAAATTCGGAAATGCTTCAAATGTAGTCTAAATTAATTCAAGAAAGCAGCAAATAAATTTTTGAATTACCAAGTTAACTTAGGAAATCGCCATTTGTATCTATACTGGCTGATTTCTTTGAAATTCGCCTCTTATTCCAAATTTGCGACAAGAGATATGAATATTTGTAGGTATTCATACATTATACATAGTACCTACGTGTACCTAACTTAAGTTCAATTTATCGTTTCTTAAATTCAAATGATTGTTTCTAAAATTAATATGATGTTTCTAAAATACAATTGCAATCAAAGTGATACTTTCTTAAATACTAATACTGTTGTGAAAGATGTAGTAGGTAGTTCAGGAAAATTGTAATATTGGAAAATTAATACAGAGAGCATAGCCAAGAAGATTCTCCCTCCTTAATTGTACTATGGCAATTTTTTAAAATGCTGGACAGTTTTTTCTAATAATAGTTGCAGAAAACCGATTTTTTCCCTTATTTCTCTAAAGCAAAAATAAATCATACACTACACAACGCAAATTACCAGACAATGGTTTTGTTTTCGTGAGTGATGTTTTTGAACCGTCATTCTACGTTGAATGTATGTATGTTGAGTTTGTAGTAGCATATGTAATAAGGTTAATTAATTTTTGCATAAATTACTGACCTTTGCGTGCCCGAATTTACATCAGCTGATCCACGTCTATGATAATTTGTTAAATACCTAATTAACGATTTTGGATAGGATGATGTAAACGTATGTATAAAAATTGATAGATTTGGAAAGCAAAAATATTATCGAGTGGCTGTTCTTATAGGTGATATTTTCAAATTCAATAACCTATAATAGCTAGCTAGAGAACTCCGACCATAACTCTCAACAGTGGAAGAATGAAGGAAAATGGCCATAGCAAGTTATAATTTAGAGTTCACTCACTGAATCGAAACATTGCAAAGAGCGAAAATGACCTTGGTATTATTGATTACTTGGGTAAACCCAATTCTTTTTTCACACATTGCGTTCTCAGGATTGTTCTGTCTGTGGAATCGATTTTATTTAAACCTCTACAAATCATTTATCTGTCTTAAACTTAAACAAAGCTAAATTACTTTAGGAATCATTTGGAGCTTTGCCAGAAATGGATAAAAAAATACCAATCGATTATTCCAAAGTCAAAATATCGTGTCTTACTGAGACTTTGTCTGTCAGCTTCAGGGAGCATTTTGAATTCAAGGCAACTACTATTCTCAGAAGACACTCCTAAAAACTACAAGACTAGAAGATTTTTTTCAAAAATTAACTAGGTAGTTTATCAGTGCAATGCTCTATTATATTAGACAATGTAGAAAGTAATAAGTCATCATCTTACCAAAACAGATGTAGCAGCATTAGCTAAAGGACCATAAACAACATAAGAATGTCCAGTGATCCAGCCGACATCGGCAGTACACCAGTACACGTCGTTAGGCTTATAATCGAATACGTATTTGAAAGTGGTAGCTGCGTAGAGCAAGTATCCGGCAGTGGTGTGCAGCACGCCTTTCGGTTTTCCCGTAGATCCGCTAGTGTAGAGCATAAATAGTGGGTCTTCCGCTTGCATCCATTCTGGATAACAGCTTGTCGAGGCTTGCGGCACGATGTCTTGCCACCAGATGTCTCGACCGTCTGTCATTGGTGTCTATAAGGAAAAAGTAACAGTATAGCTTGAGATTATTATATTTGCAGATTCAAAAACCTCTTTAGTCCAGAGCTTAAAACAATTCAAATGAAGTCTTCAGGAAAACTTTTACCGTCGAGATCCTTGATTTGGATCTAGACAAGTCTTCCGTATTGAGAAACGCGAATTGGATTGAAACATCTAAAATGGCTGAATCTATGAATTTATTCTCTGAAGTAATTACACAGTAATTACTTATGGTCAAGATAGAGTTTGACAATGACAACTTTGAAACATAAACAATGTCGCTCATAGGTCGTAAGATGCTGTGTACCTGCACTCCACTGTAAAAGGACCTGCAGGAACACGGCATTTTGTGACCAATTAGGGCCAAGCGTTATTGTTTATATTTCAAAGTTGACAATGTCATAATCTATCTTGGGAAAAAAAACAGTTTAGATACTTATATCCTGTTTACAATCCGATGTCCACAGGTGCAGGTACATTTATCACCTTTCCCTATCAAATAGCATTGAAAGGTGATACATTTTACCGGTACCAGTGGACATCGGATTGTGAACGGATAATATATATTCAATAAATTAGTTCACTGATATTTAAATACCTACCAAAAAAATGGGAAATTTCATAGGCGAAAAGTAAGACATATCATAACTTTAAACAAATAATATGCAAAAAGGTCCTTTGTCAAAAGAAAAGTAAAGATATTTTCTAGCAAAAAGAGATCAAAATCTAACTTTTGGACTGGTTTGTGTTCTGTTAGCTATTGTTCGTAATTTTTAACTGACACTTTCCGTATCAAGAGCGAGGAGGTGTTTCATATGGCAAAACCAGGTGTGACGTCAGGTAACCATTGGCGTTCTAATGTAGGGAGTCACCAGATCACATTCCGTCCGAGTATCAGATTAAAATCGACGGACAATAGGTCTGTTTCTGCAGAAATCACAAACCAGTCAGAGCGAATTTCATTGGTTGAAAACAGTCAGAAAACTAGTTTCAACCAATGGAATTCACTCTGACATTTGTATGGCATTTGTCATCTCGTTTAGTGCGTCCAAAAAAGCTACATAGTGGGGGATACCTTTCTCTCTCCAGTTCATTGCTGTTAGGTTTGGTATCTTTCTAACCTCAAATATAATATTTTTTAGACAAGGAAAGAATTTCATAATTCGCCAATAAGATAAATAGAGATAGGTATCCCCCACATTCTCCATCTCAAGTTGCCGCAAATTTATAGATCGGCGGGCCATTCCAGGTACATGTAGTTTATAGTTCATTGGCAGAAACCGCAGAAACCATTCCTATTTATACTCATTACCTTGCCCAGGTAAGGGTGCTTGGTCGTCATTGTGGTGGATGACACGAAATGTCATGCGCTTTGAGGTCTGTCTTCTCTACTGATTGTCACTCCTTGAATTTATCACATTAAAGTTTAAAGAATATTCTGAAGTTTATTTGAAGAGACCTACGCAAGAACTTAATGTAACATGGTGACAGCGAAAGGGCTTCAAGAATAATCAAACAAGATTTTGCAAAGACGTTGTGACGAAAGGCACGAAATTCAAGAAGTTTGATTTGCGATGTCCTTTCCAGACGGACATGAATCGGGGACTCAAGGGTCTGCAACTACGACTATGCAGGTAAATTTGGGTATAAATGTAACCCATCCAGATAAACTAAATTTTTCATGTCCAAATATTTGGCCACAGTGGCGAAAAAGATTTGAGAGGTACATGTCTGTATCAGAGCAAAACAACAAGAGTGATACAGAGAAAATTAATTTGCTTTTATATGTAATGGGAGATGAGTCTGAAGATATTCTGATGACCTTTATAGAGCCACGGCCAACTACGTACCAAACTATGTTGGATGAGTTCGAAAAGCATTTCATACCAAAGAAAAATGTTATATTTGAACGTTTTAAGTTTAATTCTCGAGTTCAGAAACCAGGGGAATCAATTGAAACGTTTATCAGAAGTTTATAGATATAGTCTTGCTGAAACTTGTAATTATGAGAAACTCAAAAATGAGCTTATAAGAAATCGGCTAGTTGTTGGTATGCTTGATTTGAAGTCCAGTAATCATATGCAATTACAAGCTAATTTGACACTAGAAGATGCTTTAAGGATAGCAAAACAAGCTGAAGGCCAAGCTCAGCAAAGTAAGGAACTATTTCAAGAAAGCCGGCAAAGACAGGGAGCCAAGGTATCCAGTGAAAGCTATAATCGAAGCAAAAAACACATACGCAAAAAAACAAATTTTGATTAGCAAGGGAAAGATGGTCATTCGGAAGGTGAGAAAACATGCGATTTCTGTGGCATGCGGCTCCATCCTAGAGAGAACTGTCCAGCGAAAACATCAGCCTGCAGAAAGTGTAAAAAAAATAGGTCACTGCGGGCTGGTGTCTGTAGAAGTACTGGTAATAATAGAGTTGGAGTTTTAGAGATGGAAAATGATGAGATTAGAATAATGATTTTCTGGGGACAGTTTCCTTAAATATTAGCAATATTAATTCTTCCAAAGAATGGACCGTTCAGTTGCTTGTTGATAAGTTAAATAAAAATATTAATTTTTTGTTAGATTCTGGGGCTGATGTGACCTGTATTCCCAGTAGTTTCATAAATCATAATTTGAAAAACCTATGTGGTTTGAAAATAAAATAACAGGTCCATCGAGAATAGAATTGAATGTTTTGGGTACTTTGCCTGTAGAATTAGTTAAAATTAATGATATATGTTTAACAGATATATTCGTTATTGAGGGGTTAACAAAGCCCATATTAGGACGGTCAGCGATTGTGGAGCTAAGGTTGCTTAAGTTTGGTGATAATGTTGGTCCGGAGACAACCAAAACGATTTCTCTGGTCGAAACATCTAATTTGCACTCTGAAATTATAAAAAAAAATCCAGAAATTTTTAATAATATGGGTAAATTTAAAACCGAAATGGTGTTAAAAGTCAATAACTAACTTTCGCACAGAGTATTCCCAGAGAAGTTCCCATTCCTCTATTAGACCCCCTAAAAAAAGAATTAGAGAGATTAAAAAAATTAGATGTAATTGAACCCATTGATGATTATACTCCATGGGTGAGTCCCATAGTCGTGGTGAATAAAAATTCGAAAATTAGGTTATGCGTAGATTATACGCGTTTAAATAGGGCAGTGCAAAGGCCATATTTTCCCATTGGAAAAGTCGAAACTATTTTAGCTCGGGTACAAGGTTCCCAATATTTTTCTAAACTAGATACAAATTCCTGTTTTTACCAGATTAAACTCAGCAAAGAATCCCAACTATTTACTACTTTCATTACCCCGTTCGGTCGCTTTTTCTTTAAAAGAGTACCTTTTGGTATAACAAGTGCTCCAGGAGTGCGTTCAAAGACGGCAATGCTAATGCCAAAACCTACTATTCCCCTTCTACCGGCGATGCCAAAATCTGGTGTGAATTCGCTGGAACGCCAAATACCGTTTCTCAATAAGCAATCCAAACCACGTGACATTCAATATGGCGTGGAGACCATACATGGACCAAAAAACACAAAAAATCTCTAGTTTCTGCTCGACTTAATAGTTTGGGTAATTAGTTAACAAATATTTTATTGAATAATCAAAATCGAAGCTGCAAACAAACAAAATAATTGAAATATGCATGAAAACACATAATCAAAACTAACTTGCTGGTCGCCACGCCATATTGAATTTGGTCTCATCCAATCAAAATTCGTATAACCATTTCTAGACTCAGTTGAAAGAGCCTCCAAAAGTTACTTTACCGCGGCCGATTTGGAACGTGTAAAGCCAACCGTTTTTGGCACGCTGGAGCCGAACTTGAACGCAATATGCCAATTTTGGCTCGGCTTTAGCCGTTTTTGAACGCAGCCCAGAGTATTTTTCTATTATCTTGAATAAAATATTGTCAGGAATCAATGGCGTTGTCAGTCATATTGATGACATTTTAATACATGCTCCCACTTTGTAGCAACATGATCGGATTTTAAACCAGGTTTTACAGCGAATTAAAGCTGAGGGTACCTATTACTCTCAACAAAGACAAGTGTGTCTTTGGTAAACAGTCTTTGAAATTTCTTGGACATAATGATATCTAATATAATAAAGGTATTTCTATAGATCCTGAGAGGATAGAATCTACAAAGAGTTTTCCCGACCCAACCAATAAAACTGAATTGTTACAGTTTTTGGGCTTGGTAAACTTTTCAAGTAGGTTTTTGCCAAAAAGATCTCAAGTACTTGAACCATTGACTTCTCCATTGAAGAAAAATGTTTCATTTGTTTGGGGAAGTGCCGAAAAAGAAGCCTGTGAAAATATTAAAAAGCTTCTCCAGCAAAGTCCATGTCCAACAAAACAGATTATTATATCCTCTGATGTTTCTTCATATGGGATAGGTTCTTGTCTCTATCAAAAATCTCAAAAGGCAGAAAAAGAAATTATCGCTTATACTTCTCGCTTGTTGTCCACAACAGAATTTCGTTATGCTCAGATCGAAAAAGAGGCTTTGGCATTAGCATGGTCGGCAGATAAATTTAAAGAATATATTACAGGTATTTCGGTCATCTTTGAAACAGATCACAAACCTCTGCTTTAGGTTCTGCAAACCAAACCTCTAGACGAGCTTGCTCCGAGGCTTCAAAGGTTCAGATTAAGCCTCATGCGCTTTGATTATTCCACTATGTTCCAGGAAAGGATCTTACCGTGGCAGATGCCTCATCTAGGAATTTTCCCAAAAATCTCCAGAAACGTGAAGATGATGAGCTTCTGCATGAGGCAGATGCTCATGTAAGTATGGTAATCCATTCAGTTCAAATTAAATCTCCATTTCTTGAGAAAATTAAGCTGGCACAAGCTAATGATCCAATTTGCAAGAAACTTGCAGAGTTCTGTTTATCAAAATGGCCCGAGAAACATAAACTCCGTGATGAAATTCTTCCCTACTATACGCACCGTTTTGATATTGGCTTTCAAGAAAATCGTTTGATAAAAA